AGATATATAGTATTGAATGCCTAAAACATATTTGCCCAATAAAGATGTAAGTTGAAAGTAATGTTCTGTAGAAAGTACTCTAATAGGAAACAACAGATGTGAAAAGAGCCAAGCAACGTGAATAGCCAATTAATTTATTCAGTTTTAATTGTGCAAGAAAATGGAGAGAGGAGGATGACTGGAAGATAACAGAAAATAAGACCTGAGTTAACCAAGTTATGTAGTTCAGAACCCTTAAGAAAGTGGTTCTGCAGACAGCACACAAAAAGGACATGAAAATATGCTTTATACCTTTTTATTGAATGTAAAGCAAAAATAATAATAAATGTGAACCAACATTGGTATGAGTTTTAGGTCATTCACAACCATCATGAGGAGGAAAATAAAATGAATAGCATTTCAAGCAGAAGAAAATTCAGCATAAAAACATAGCCCAGAGATAGGAAAATAAACCCCAAATGTACAATAAGATGATAATAAGGTGACAGGGATGAATATTTTAGCAATTACAATAGATATCAATTATGAAATCCATCAATTAAATAACTTAAACACTTAGGTTGAACCTTTAAAACACTAATCTAACAAAATAGGGTTTTCAAGACACTCTTAAAATTAAAACAAATAGGTTAAACATTAAGGAGTTACTTAGTATGTGATGGTTCATGTTGGCCGGCAAGTTGAAGAGTCACCTAGAGGACGCCTCTCTAGGCACGTCTGCCTGGGAGTAGATTAGGTGAGAAGATCCACCCTAAACGCCTGCAGCACCAACTCCCAGGCTGGGGTCCCACACTGAATAAAAAGGAGAGAGAGAGCAAGCACTGATGCACTGGTGTTCATATTCTCTCCATGTCCCGGCTGTGGGTGTGATGTCAGCATTCACCCCTAGTTCTTGCCCTATGACTCCCCATCCTGGTGGACAATACCGTTGATGTGGGAGGGAAAATCAAATACCGTTGATGTGGGAGGGAAAATCAACCTGAATTTCCTTAAGTTGCTTTTGTCTGTTTTTTTTTTTTTTTTTTCGAGACAGGGTGGTAGCTTTTTACAGCAAATAGAAACATAACTATTACATGGTACATCAATCAAGATAAGCTGTTTTATTGCAGAGATAAGTACCAAATAATATTTATTGTATGCTTATAAATAATTACAGTGGGGAATTTTTAAAATATGTTTTACATTGAGTTGCCTCCCCTCACCATATACAAAATTGTGGAAAAAACTTTAATAATAGTATAAAGGGTTACATCTGTCACAAATAAATAAAAATCCTGTTATATATTAACAGGTTTAAAAACTTATTGTTAAGAAGGTATGCTTGCCCATGTTATATGCCACATATGGGTTGACAAAGGAACTCTGCTGTGGATATCATTCTGTATAAATAAAACACTGATTGGCCAGTGGCCAGGCAGGAAGTATACGTGGGACAAGGAGACAGGAGAATTCTGGGAAGTGGAAGGCTGAGGGAGACACTGCCAGCCACTGCCATGACAAGCAGCATGTGAAGATGCCGGTAGGCCACGAGCCATGTGGCAAGGTATAGATTTATAGAAATGGATTAATTTAAGCTATAAGAACAGTTAGCAAGATGCCTGCCACGGCCATACAGTTTGTAAGCAATATAAATAAGTCTCTGTGTTTACTTGGTTGGGCCTGATTGGCTATGGGACTGGCAGGTGACAGAGATTTGTCCTAACTGTGGGCAAGGCAGGAAAACTCCTGCTACAGAACTCTACACATTAAGACAAAGAACAGAATCTCTCATGCTGTATAGAAATCAATTAGAAATGTGCCAAAGACTTTGTGATAACACCTGAAACTTTGAAACTGCCAGAGGAAAAAATGTAGGCACAACGAGATACAGGCATAGGCAAGGAGTTCATAAAAAAGGTTTGAAATACCACAGGAAGTAAGGGTTGTTTTCTAAGGCATATTCGCCTTAGAAATATTTTTTGTTTCTGATCACAGGATCTTGAGTTCTGCTGGTCTAGAAGTTTTGATTTCAGAGGGAGAGTGCTCATGCCAGGAGCCACAACAGACTTTCCACGGAACTGGAAGCGAAGACTTTCCCCCT